CAGGCTATTTTCTTTCACACCCTGGCCGGTACAAGGTTGGTACACAGAGGAGAGATATATCTACAGAGGAGAGATATATCTACAGAGGAGAGATATATCTACAGAGGAGAGATATATCTACAGAGGAGAGATATATCTACAGAGGAGAGATATATCTACATGCAGAGGAGAGATATATCTACAGAGGAGAGATATATCTACAGAGGAGAGATATATCTACAGAGGAGAGATATATCTACAGAGGAGAGATATATCTCTCCTCTGTGGTTGCATGGTATGAGTGAGCTCTGAATGGATCTGGAGCAAGAACTTCAGTTGTTCCACCTATAATTGAGAAAAGTGAAGCAAAGATAGCAAACATTGATGACCAAAATCTGTAAAACTCTAGTTCTTTCTAACAGATCACATGGCTAATCAATGTAACTTAGCATAAATATTAGAAACGTATGCAGTTTGATATGTTAACGTACATTTACAGTCGTGCCAATAGAAGTGTTTCGAAAAATGTTGACCAGTTCATTTCCTAACTTCGAGGAGTTCCTCTGAACAATTCCTCACGTTAACAATTTGATAAGTTCCTTAAAAAGTTCCTAACTCCCTGTTTCATTGACCAATCAAATTTTATATTTTATTTTTGAGCAATCTGATTGGTCAATGAAACAAGAAGTTAGGAACTTTCTAAAGAACTTATCAAATTGTTGAGGAATTGTTCAGAGAAACTCCCTCCTTGAAGTTAGGAAATGAACTGGTCAACATTTTTCGGTACGCTTCTATAATGGCACGACTGTAATCGATGTTGACGTACGATTTTGTATACTAGTTTTTGTGTAAAATTCCCGTATAAAAATGCGTTTGAAATGCTGGATTTAAACGACGTAAACAAAGATGGTGGTCTGGGATTCGAGCAGTGAACTTGTTGTTTGTAGATCAATATTTCATGTTTGATTGTTATAAATATATCAATATTTCAGGATAAGAGGTTAGAGGCGAATGTTTGTTCATTGTCTGAAGGATTTTAAGGCAAACAGAAAGAGGTATATAAACGGTTCAGCTCTGCTGTAGGAAGTGTACGCGATCATACATTTGTACTTGTCTGAAATTCTTGGCGTACGCCAAGAATAAGCTAATTTCGGCGTACAAATATCGTACATCCGTAGATTTTGTTTATAATTTCAAATACTTACAATGACAACATCTTTACCGCCCAATTCTGTCGGTACGATATGTTCCAACGCTTCTTTTAACCTGATATTCTCTTTGGTAACTGCGTCGAAATCGTTTCCTGAATCATTTCCTTGGGGGCCAATTCCAAGTTTCTTGTTTAAATACACGATCCTCGCTTCAGCCCGCCTCAAAGCTGTTTCATTATTTTCCGCCTTTGTCTTCGTCAATGTTGACTCCAACTCTTTGATATGGTGTCCACTTTGAGCAAGATCATCTTTTAAAGTAGTTACCAATTCATAGAGTTCCTGATTTTTCTACATAAAACAGTGACAGACATTTCATTTCACTCATATACGCAGGCTATTTTCTTTCACACCCTGGCCGGTACAAGGTTGGTACACAGAGGAGAGATATATCTACAGAGGAGAGATATATCTACAGAGGAGAGATATATCTACAGAGGAGAGATATATCTACAGAGGAGAGATATATCTACAGAGGAGAGATATATCTACATGCAGAGGAGAGATATATCTACAGAGGAGAGATATATCTACAGAGGAGAGATATATCTACAGAGGAGAGATATATCTACAGAGGAGAGATATATCTCTCCTCTGTGGTTGCATGGTATGAGTGAGCTCTGAATGGATCTGGAGCAAGAACTTCAGTTGTTCCACCTATAATTGAGAAAAGTGAAGCAAAGATAGCAAACATTGATGACCAAAATCTGTAAAACTCTAGTTCTTTCTAACAGATCACATGGCTAATCAATGTAACTTAGCATAAATATTAGAAACGTATGCAGTTTGATATGTTAACGTACATTTACAGTCGTGCCAATAGAAGTGTT